GCCCGCCCCCCTGACACCCTGCCCTCCTCCCATCCCGCTCAGCCTGCTGGAGACAGAGCAAGAGAGAGGAGGCAGGCGGGCAGCCGTGGCCAGAGTCTGGGCACAGCCGGGCCCTGCGAGAGCGGGTGTGGATTCTTGCTCCAGGTGAGGGGGCGGCCTCGGAAGAGGAGAGCAGGGTCTTCCAGGGAAGAGGGGTCTCCGGGTCCCCGGGATGGCCATTAGAGGAGTGGGGGGCGAGGTGGCCCTTCTTGCGGGGCGCCGGTGGGGCCGGGGCCCTGGCAGGGCCTGGCTGTCTGGGACGGAAATGCCCGCTCTCTTGCTAACCGAAACCACATGTGTCTCCAGGCAGCGGGACAGAGACGCCGCCAAGCCTGGGACTCGGGGCTGGGGGGGAGGAGAGATGTAGGCTGGCCCCGCGGTGTGTCCCGGGGTGTACGTGCATGTGTGTGGGTGAGGGGATGCCCTTCAGGGACGGTCGGGGTCTTTGTATCTGCACAAGTGAGAGCGTGTCCAAGAGAGTGAGCGAAAGCCTGAGTCCTGTGTGGGTTTGCGCATGTTGCACGGATGAGTGTGTGTGTCAACACGTATGTGTATCTGCAGGTCAGTGAAGTGTCCTGCTCATAGGGCTACACTGGCCTCTCGCTCTTGGCCTCCTATGACCCAAGTCCTGGGCAGACTTCCATCTGACACCCAGGGCTTGGGCGTCTGCTGGCTGCCTCTTGGGAGGGTCGTCTGGGGTGAAGAGACACCCCAGCTGAATTGGTGGCAGCCCCTCGATGCTGGGACTCCCCGGTGGCCGCCATCCTCCTTCGTTCCGTTTTCTCCAGCCCAGTTCAGTCTTCTCACAGCTGCCAAGCTTCTACCCATTTCCCAGAGAGCAAGGCTGAGGTAGAGTAAGGGGCTGATTCTCTCTCATCTGTTTTCATCTTTTTCAGAATGCTTGCCTCCAGGAGCATGGCATATTCATGGTAGCCCTAGAAGGTGAGGAAAATAAGGGAGGGGGACAACTTGCCCATGGCATCGGGGAGACAGTATGGGGGCTGTCCAGACACGGAGGGGTCAGGGGATTACTAGGCCATGGGCTCGGCCTTGGGGGAAAGGCTGGAGGCTGCACTCTGATCCTGTGGCAAATGGGGGCGCATCAGGAGCCCCAGAGGGACCTGAGTCCTGGGTCCTCTTTCCCTAAGGAGTAAGGCTGGCTAGGATCTGGGCTCTGGGTTCTAGCTGTGGCCCTGCCACTGCCTTGCTGTGGATGTTGGACAGGTTTCCTCCTGTCTCCAAGCCTCAGTTTCCCCATTCTCACAATGGCAAGGTGGGGCCAAGGTAGCATTTCCCGAAGTGCAGTGCACGCTGCTCCGGCCTCTCACGAGATGGTGCCACGTGGACTGCCAGTTCCCCTTTAACAAGGATCGTGTGTTATTTTCACCTACGTTAGGGAAAACTATATAAAAGCACATCAAACCGGCGAGGGGATTTAAATAAAAGTGTACACTATCCAAATGAATGCGGCTGGGGACTGCTAGGAGATCCCTAGGGTCCTGTCCATTTGGGGACCAGGCTGTCCTTATGCTTCTACCACTTTCAATACTCATAGGAGTGTTGGTTTTGGCCGTTTAGGACCCTAATGTGATCTGCTGTATAGATTATCCTTTGGTCCCCACAAATTAGCAGCCCTGTAATTCTGTGATTAGAATGAAAAGCTCAGTTGTCACTTTTGAGAGAGAGAGAGAGAGAGAGAGAGAGAGAGAGAGAGAGAGAGAGACAGGAAAGGGACTGGGGATGGGACTAGGCAGAACTGGGAAAAAGATCAACCCATCCCAGATCAGGGCTGGGTGCCCGAGGTCAAAGGCAAGGCTTTGGGGAAAGAGATTTTCCCCTGACCGACATTTTCAAGTGCTTTGTCCGGTGTTGGCCTTGCTTTGTATTGCCAGGGTGGACTGGTAGGCGAGGGGCCACCCTGGCTTCAGCCTTTCCTGCCATTCAGCCCCGGCTCCCTGGCCACTTGACTGTATTTTATGTGCCAACATGGGACCGGCCTGGGAGGGGTGCACTGGGAGGATGCAGGGGGTGTGGGGGAGGCCCTCGTCAGAGCCTCCAGGTCACTTCTCTAGCCTGGGCTGGTTGGAGCTGGTATCATTGAGGACAGGCCCAGGGACGTCTCCCCCTTCCTGAGTGTCTCTCTGTTGCTGTTACTGTTATTCACGACAGTGCTTGTTTATCTGTGGCTCTTCATTGGTGATTTGTCTCATCCCCAGCTCTCTAGAAAAGCACCAACCTGCCCTCCTGCAGGAGGTACAGCTTCCTAGATGGTCCTTTCCTGTCTCATCCTGCAGCAGGCAGAGGGCACCAGACTTTGGCTCAAGGATGTGGATGGCATCCTGGGGTGAGAATGAAGTCATGGCTCCTTCTTGGGGAGACAGCAGGTGCAGAGGAAGGAGCCCAGGGAAAGCTCCTTGCCCTCTTGGGGCCTCAGTGTCCCCAGCAGCCGCAGGAGACATTCTCTTCAGTGAGACTGAAGTACTTCTGTAGCTCAATCCTAAGAAGAAACAACATCTATCTGCTTCTAAGCGGTTCTTGTTTCTCTAGAAGGGTGCCTTCCTGGGGTGGTGGTGGTGGTGAGTTTTAGGTCGGGCTTCCTGGATCAGGAATGGAGTCATCCACACTCCTTGGGCCCAGGTTCAAAGCTTTTTCAAATCCTGGGGAAGCAGCTGTCCAGGGTCAGGGGCACATTCCCTGCTGGCAGAACTATCACATTCTAACTGGCCTTGTGGGTCCTGCATCTACACCCAAGGCCAAGGGCAAATCGAGACTGGCTTTCTGATGCGCTGAGCAGCTTTGTGAACATGGCTATAGTGAGATTTGCCTGCCCAGGGCGTGGGAGGTGGCCTTGCTTAGGGGGAAGGATGTGGCCTTCAAGAGGAACCTCTTCCTAATGAAACATTCTCATTTAGAAAATGAAACTGTTCATATGACCGTGGTCCCCTTAAATATGTCACGCTTGGTGGGCAAAGCCACAGGTTCAGATGGAGGCGGAAGATTCTAGCTAAACTTAGCTTACCCACCCACAGTGATGCCCTGGGGCTTCTCGCTCTTAAATTTCACCCTGATTTCTTTTTCCTGGGTTTGGTAAAGGCAGAGTATGGAGTGGTGACAGAGCAGTTTACTTATAGAGTCACATTTAGGTCTAGTGGTGACAATGTGGACTTCAAGCAAAAGGAAGCTGAAGTTTGTTGGATTAGGGAAAAGAAAGAGAGAGAGAGAGAGAGAGAGAGAGAGAGAGAGAGAGAGAGGGAGGAAGAAAGAGAAAGAAAGAAAGAAAGAAAGAAAGAAAGAAAGAAAGAAAGAAAGAAAGAAAGAAAGAAAGAGAAGAAAGAAAAGAAAAGAAACCAGGTGGCCCTGTGCTCTGCCCCTGCTACAGCTCTGGGACCTTGCCGGGTCACTGCATCTCTCTCAGCTCTACTTTCCTGATTTGTAAAATGGGTTGTCATGAAGATTCAGGAGATGATGGCACACAAGCCCTGGCAAATACTGCATCTGGCACTTGATAAATAGTAGGTCAAAGGTATCGGGCCTGTCAATAACTCTGCTGACTTAAGGGGAGAGTGTCTTCGTTGCTTTACCTCAGGGAGAACAGACACGGCCTGATGTGCCCTGGGGTGAGGGAACAGGACCAGGGTCGCTGTGGGGAATAAATGAGCCAGCCTTAAGCTCTTGGCACATCGTAGGTGCTCAGTGAATGCTACCTAGCTGGATGGGAACCTGGAGGCCTCAGGCCTAGCCCTGGGCTGACTCCAGAAGCCCTTGTCCCTCAAATTCCTCTCCTCAAATAGTCCTACTAGTCCCGGATGAGGGCCACAGTCTTTGTAGGCAGTAAGGCCAGGGACTGGAGGCTCAAGGAGCCCCAGGAGGGCTTCTCTTCCAAGGACTGGTTTCAGATCTTGCCCCAAACACCTCCTGGGGGAATGCTGTGCCCCTGTCCCTAGGCAGTGCATGGGCAGTGGTCATGCTATACATTCTCATTGCCAGCAGGAATAGCCAATGGTTTCCTACTGGAGGAAACCAGGAAACTGAGGCTCAGAGAGGAGAAAGGGCCTGTGTGGGGGTCAACATGGCAAGGAGGCAGGGCCTGGAGGGTGGAGGCAAGAAGGTGGGAAAGTGTGGGAAGAGGGGAAGGGGAGGCCCTGCACCTCCCCTGCCAGGGCCTCCCTCCCAGCTCCACTCACTGGAAGCAGGAACTGGTGAAAGGGGAACTGGAAAGGAGAGAAAGAAAGCAAACAGAGTCAGAGAAAAGCCTGGAGCTCGAAGTACTGGGATTGTTTGGTCTGGCTGAGCCACCTCCTGGGCCACTCCCGACAGCTCTGCAGACAGACTCCAACAACCCCCACCACATGTATGCGTGCATGCACACACATGCTCACATATGTGCACAGATGCACAGCTACCCACAGGCACAGGACACACACAGTCACACAGTTAGACATGCACATATACACACACACACACACACGACACACATGTGTACATACAGACACCTATGCAGACATGCACACACACACACATGCACACACACACACACATGCACACACACACACATGCACACACACACACACACACACACGGCACGGAAGGTCCAAGCTGGAGGGCAGGTGCTAGGATGGGTATTTCTGTGGATCCTTCTAGCTCAACCTCCATGCTTCCCTCCCCCCAACAACTTAAACCTACACAGCCCCTCACTGCAATCACCATAACACTTACCGTGCATTGAGCTCTAAGCTCTTTACTTATATGAACTTGTTTAATCCTCACAGCAGCCCTAGGAGGCAGGCACTGTAATTAGCCCTGATTTGCAGATGGAAAAACAGGCTGGGAGAGGCAAAGAAATTCTCTCAAGGTCATGCAGTTTGCTCAGTGGCCACTCCAAAGCAGGCCCCAGAGCACAGAGCCCATTGGCTGATCACTGCCCCACACTGTCTCCAAGGGCCCTGGACTCTGGCTCTGTGCCAGGCGCTGGGACCAGCACCCTCACCCTCACAATCCCTGCCATGGGAAGCAGCATGATGTTGCCCTTGTCTCCGGCCCAGGGGAGGGACGTGACCTGCCCATGGTCAGAGCGTGGAGGAGCGGGGCTGGATGTCTTAGTGCTTGCCGAGCCAAGGTTTCAGCGGCGAGGGGAGGCCGGGGTTGGGGCTGGACAAACCACTGCCTCTGCAGAGTTAGGCCCTCCAGCTTCTTCTCTTGGCTTCTTCTGCCATGGCTTCCTTTCCTCACCTCTTCCGACCCCTGAGACTGTACCTCAATCCCCTAGACCTTGTGTGTCCAGTGTCTCATACATTCACACTTGTTTATCCAGCCAGCCATTGCCTCAACAAGTGTGTCCTAAGCGTCCTTAATAATAGCTTTAGATAACTGTTGACAAAACATCTTCCCCTTTCATTATTTTATTTCAGTCTGTATGTGTGCATGTCGGGGAGTAGTGATTATTATTTTCTTTTATCTTGGCTCCACCGCTCACTGAGAGTCTTTTCTAGTGAGGACTTTCTAACTGAAATACATACCAGAGTCCTCCATGGAGCGCAAAACTGCTTGCTGAATGAATGAATGAATGGTAAGCAAAACTGATGCGGTGCCAGCCCTTGTGGAACCAGAATAACAAGCAACGCTTCCCTGAGCCTGTCCACATGCCTGGCACCAGGCCGGTACTTCTCCCATATCACCTTATTTAATCCTCACAACAATGCCTAGGAGATGGTGCTATTACTGGCCCCATTTTACAGATGGAGAAATTGAGGCTTAGAGAGGTGAAGTCACCCCTCATGGTCCTTGTCTCCCCCGATCTCGTATTAGATATTCAAGCCCCTGTCTTCTGCCCTTCTGCCCACGCTAAGCTCCTGGAAGGCAGGAGCCTCATCTACTTGTCCTCCCCACAGTGTCCTGTACGATGCCGGCCCCCAGTGGCACCTGTGTTTGCTACATTCAGTTGTTTTGAATGAAAATTTGGGAAAGGAAAGGAGGGCATGGTGAGGAAGGGAGGTTTAGTGGAGAACAGCAAGCAAGGGGCAGACGCCGGGTCACACCGCCAGGTCAGTGCTGGGAGCCGTCTTCAAAGACCATTTCATCCATCGCCTCCCCCAACCACATTCTATTTTTGGATTCCCTCCAGAGGAGCCTGCCAAGGAGCTTCTCAGACTCTGCTTGTTTGCCACCAGTGACAGGGAGCTCAGCACCTATTGAAACATGAGATAATCCAATGAAATCACTTAGCCCAGTACCAAATGGTCCCTTGATACCGTGTCTTTACAGCGTGCTTTCTCTGTGCCAAGTACATTAAATCCTCACAAAAGCCAGGAGAGGTAGGTACTATTATTATCCTAGTTTCACAAGCGAGGAAACTGAAGCACAGAGAGTTATATAACTCTCAAGGTCTCACAGCTGGGAAGTGGCAAAATACAGACTCCAACTCAAGGCCTGGGACGTGGCACTGGAGATGCCTTCCTGACCTCTAGGTCAGCACTGTCCATCAAAATAACTGCAAGCACATATGTAACTTTAAATTTTCTAGCAGCCACACTAAAAAAGAAACAGGTGAAAAAAGGAACCTGTGACATTTATTTTAATAATCCATTTATTTAAATCCAACCGTCATTTTAACATGTAATAAATCAAAAGAAAGTTATTAATGAGACATCTTACATATGTCTTTGGGTACTAAGTCTTTGAAATCTGGGGTGCATTCTTTATTTGCAACATATCTCAACTTGAACTTGCCCCATTTCAAGTGCTCAGTAGCACATGTGGCTCGTGGCCACCATATTGGACAGCCCAATTCTAGACTAGACTACCTTTAAGGTGCTTACTGTGGTATGTCCTAGTGCATAAGGAGAGTGGAATAACTGTTAGCTACTATTATGATTACTTTTATTACTGGTGGTCCAGGGAGAAGCTGGGCTGAGGCCCCAAGCCCTTGTCATCAACACTGATATTTCTAGTCTTAATCTGAGTCTGCCAAGCCAGCAGGTTGCTGTTTCCCAGGCTGAGCCAAGCTGTGAGCCTCTGACCTATAGGCCGAGAAGAGCCAGCCTAACTCTCTCTAGAAGGAAAGGCAGAGACCAGGTTGAAGCCTCTCTAGCTCCCAGCTGAGCACCACATGAAGTGAGGCCTCCTGTGGCCCATCTGCCCTGGAGTGTGTGGGGCGGCCAGGCACACATCTGGAAGGGAGAGACCGAAGGCCCCTCCTTCTGTGGTCCCTGGAAGTAGCACCTCCTGCATGCGTTAGGCAGATTAGGCCTTTAAACAGAGCCAACAAACAAAAATATCCCCATCACCCTTCTAACACAAAATTGTTTTCCCATGAAACTCCATGAGTTAAATGAAGCAGGAACGAGG